CCCTTACCGGTTGGTACCGCCATGGCCGCGCTGGCTGCAACATCGCTCCAGCTCTGCGGACCTCGCCTTTCCCCGCTGCTCCCTTCCCCAGCCGCAGCTTGAGCGGCTCCGCTGTCACGCGGAATATGGCCGAAGTCGTTGCGAGCACCTTTTATTCCGCAGATCCGGATGCATTGAGTACGTCTTCTCCGAGCTTCTCTCGTTTGTCTTCCGAGCCCGGGCTCGGTGTGTTCTCGGGCTTCCGCTGCCGTTAACCTCAGAGAGCTAGAGCAGAGGTCGGCGCAGTTCCGGTGCGGTGCACAACAGCATCCCCACTCAAGGCTTTGAAATCCCTTGGTCAGTTGGGTGACGCTGGATCTTGAGCTTCATGCCAGGCACCGCTACATGAAAGAACTAAAGCGGTAGAGAATGAGAAAATACGAGGTTATTGTTTGATTCCAGCCAAAAACACTTAGTCGGTCACATAGGTGGTGTTCTTGGGGCCTTCCGTGTGGGTTTGGCAATTCCCGAGCCCTCTGTATTTGCTAGGCATTTCCAGTTCAGTGTGCGAGCGTTCTGCTTTGCTACAGAAAGAAGTGTGAAGATGCCCAAGGTATTTTTGATCCGTTGAGAAATAGGGTAAGCTATTTTGTTCCTTGCTCAGTTCTCCTGCACATAGACTACTTAGACGCAACCTGTACATTCAAAGCCAGCGCAGTATGCGTTGATCTGTAATGGGATGGAGGAGTATGAGGGGAAAGATACCCTCTCTAGATACCCTCTCTGAGTAAGCATTTATTCTTTGTATGAAGCACTCTCCGCTGTCTCACGTATCTCAGGGGTTTTTCCATTTCTCTCTCAGACGCTTGTAACTAGGGAGCAGTAGCAGAATAAAGATCGGTGACCAATTGGAAGAAGTGGTTACTCTGCGGCGTAGGTAGGCCGTGCCGTCCTGCTCGGTGCTGTGTGACACACTTCTCCTGAAGTCACACGGAGCAAGCGCTGCTATGTCCGCCCAAGTTCCTGAGAGCAGTATGGCTGGATTTTCATAGCGCTGGCCTTCTGAGCCCAGGACGTGTAGTTACTGACAAACCGGTATTGCTTTAGCTTCTGGAGTTAATTTATCATTAACGAGGCACTCTGTGTTCTTTGTGATCGTAAGTGTGCCTACAGGGCCGTACCTGCCCTAGGAAAGCCTTTTCATTCCTAAGGATTCTTTCTTGTTGTGCACCCTGGTAGCTTGGGCTCAAGAGAAATAATCTGGGTTTACCATTTGAAATGTTCTTGTCACGTTCTGATTGGCGAATGTGGGCTCGCCCTGCGGAATTATCGTCTGTATCGTATGATTTTTTCAGTAGCAGAGTAAAATCTTTTCTGTGATAGCTAGCTTAAAGTGAACAGAGAATGAGCCGGCCATCCAGTCTGCCTATCCACCGGTGTCCTTATGAATAAAATGTTTGCCTTTATGGAACTGTGGTTTCAAATGATACCTCTACTCTCACACTTTAATAATATTTTGCAGTGCTGAAAATATGCTGAGGAAACACAGTATGTTAACGCACAGTGTTGAATTTGAGTCTTCCTTCTTACCGCAGCAGTTGTGACACTGGATGTCATTTCTTTTGAGAGTATTTGACAAATGAAGAACCGCGTTGCAACTCAAGGAACGTGTGAAAAGATTAGTATGTCAGACTAATAAGTACATCTGATGAGATACCAGAAGAAAGGCACTGAACCTGGCGTTGGGTGATGACAGAGAGAGGCAGATGCAGCAGCTTCCCCAGACCGAGTGGTGCCCTTGGCTGCAGTCGCTATCGTTACTGCTATTGGGGTGGCTGTCGGCTCTTCTGGGTGGTGCAGCTTTACTGCCCTGTGGTAGTCAAGCCCCGAAAATACAGAGTGCTATTAAGCGCCTCTCACCAAAAAAACCCCAAAACCAAAAAAAAACCCCAACCCCAAAACAAAACAAAAAAAAACCAACCCGCTGGACAGCTTGATTTGAAAGAGCAGCATGCTGTGCCTTGGGGCTCAGCCAGTTCAGATTGTAGCGGATTAGGTAAAGGAGATCATAAAGTGAAGGGATTCTGGTAGATTATACAGGTTTGCTGGCCCTCACTGCAGATGGGGGATGATCTGAGTGCTTACCTCCCTGAGCACAAAAGAGAGAAGGTGGTTTCAGTACTGAACTGGGTCGTTTGGGACTTTCAATTGCTCTTTTGGTGTTTTCTCATTTTAGCCGATGCTTGTTTTACTTTACCACGGAGAACCCGCCGGCCTTTGCACGGCTGCATTAGAGATGTCCTGGTTTGTGCCAGCTGGACTGCCGGTCGCGGTTCGGTTTTTCAGCTTTATTCAAGGTGTGGCTGCTCGCACAGTGGGTTGCAGTACTGGGATCTCAGTGACACGGATCGCGGCAGCAGGCACGCCCTTTAGGGCATTACTTGATTGTCTGTGGTAGGAAATGCAGTTTAAAAGTGATAATCTGGATTTAGGAAAAACCTGTCCAAGATTGTGAAAGCTGCTCTCCCCTTCTGTCTTCCCTCGGCTCCTGTGGTGCGGGAAGCGGCACGGCGTCCCTCGTGGCTTTGCTTCGCGTGCTCGCTGTGCGGGGAGTATCGTTCTGATCCGCAAGAGCATTTTGCCAAATTTTATTTCAGTTTAAGTGGTATATTCAAGTTTCGATTTAAGTGGTATATTCAAATCTAATCAGCGACTCGGACACGAGTTGCAGACGCGTGGATGTAAGAACAAGCCGCGCTGTTGCAGATTTACGTAAAACTATAGCTCGCTATCTGTGGGCCTTCAGTCACGGACAGCTTGTTCTGTGGACGGAGTGTTCAGAGGAGGAAATTTGCTCGTCAGTAAAACAAAACACTTTGCTTGCTTACAGTTTTTTAGCAAAGCAAATGGTGAGGGCAGCACCTCTCTGCCAGGATTGGTGAAGCATCCAGGCAGCATCACTGCTGTTGGTCTTCCGTGAAACAGGATGGCGGTGGCTTTGAACTGCCTCTTTGGGCGCAGCCAAAGGCTTCGTGCCAGAGTTTGTGCTCCGGATGCCTAAATTCGAGCACGCGTGCCACCATTCCGTAGCTCAGTCACGGCCTCAGGGAACTCAATGCCTTGCACAGGTGACTAGTCCCGCTTCCTTCTTCTACGGGGCAAGGGAAATAGTAATGAGAAAGCTTACGTATATTTTAGGAGAAAAAGGCTTCTGTAATGTGAGAGCTGCTTATCGAGCAAGATGTACGGCAGCGAGCTCATCGCGTCGTGACCTTCAGTACTTCTTCAGAAACAAATTGCTGCTGGCCTCCCGTGTGCGCAGATGGCTGTTTGTTTTTATCTAGTCAAAGACGTGACAAACACCGTTTAAGAAATAAAGTTTTATACATAAAGACAATTACGGACTGAATGAATTTGCACGCTATTAATTCAGCGTGGACTTGTTAAAGTATTGCGTAGCAGTCGGTTCCCAAGCACTTGGGCACAATTGTCCTAACGCGAGCTGTATCTCATCGTGTGAGCCCTTAACAGTTTTATCTGGTTGCTGAGGCTGATTTCTGGCTTTATTTGTCGCGGCTGGCATTTGTTATCCTGGGCCATCGAAAGTTGTTTCTGGCAGAGCTGAGGAAAGTCTCTAATAATCTTGTACCGGAATCTAACAGAAGGTAGCTGGCATGTCGTCGACAAAGTTAGATGAACATTACAACTTACTTCGGCACTACCTGGCATTGCTCTTGGTATTGCTCTTTGGAGGAAAATACCCTTTCTGGTTTTGTTCGTTTGCTTATCTTTGCATGCAAATAACAATTCCTTTCTGTGCTGACTCTCTGGATGTTTTTGTTTTCTTGAGAGAAGCAAACGTGGAAATAGCTCCAGATAGGAACTTGGTTGTTTGAGGTAACGGTGACAAGCTTATCCGGTCCCGCCCGTAGGCTTAAGTTGGTGTTAAGTTGCTGGGAACTTGAATCGTGCGCACGGACGCGGCGAAAAGTATTGCACTGGTGCGTCTGCAGGTTCCTTCAGTTTTGGAGCCCAGTCCCCGGGGCGGGTGCCTCTGGGTCCTTCCCTCTGAGCCTTGTCTGGAGAAGACAGGGATTCCACGTTTCCTCGGGTCCTCCAGCTTGAGAGTCTGTCGCGAGATACATCTCCTGGCTGCCGGTTCTGCTCGGTTCGAGAATGCGCTGCAAATCCACGCTGCCCCCCTGCTAGCGCAGGAATCGAAGGTACCAAATAGGGTGGAAATTAGATCTTGTGGATTAATCGTTACGTCAGCTTGCTGTAGGCAGGTTTACCTGCGGAGGAGCAGCGATTGCATGGGTGCTTGTGTTACTCTGTTTGTGTAGCTTATGGCTTTTATCAGCGTGCGTGATGGAGGGGGGTTCTTTAACGGTACGGTTGCACCGTAAAGAAACCAGCAGATAAATGTACGTGATTGCAGGTGTTTGCCATCTCAGTTTCAGTATTTGGTTTCTGCCTAGGATGTACGCAAGTGCCTCGCGCAGTAAGTTCTCATTAAGACGCTTCCCAATGCCTGCTCGGGCTGATCTAAGGATGTGGCTCGTGTTATTCAAGTGAGAGGAGCGCTCAGGTTCTTCTTTCTTAGCTGTTATTCCTTGACTCGTGAGTACGGACCGATGAAAAGTGGAGAAATCGCTCTTACAGAGTACCTGTATCTACGGGGCTTGCGTCAGTGCCTGGTAAACACGGAGGTGCCGTTCTTTGTAAGTTTGGATTCTCTGAGTTGTCGATGCCGATGCCTTGGGTGTAGGCTTAAATGTCACTGGTGCCTTTACCTCCAAACCCCCGGGGCCTGCTAAGACTCAGGTCCTTGACTTTAAGGAGGTGCTGTACTAATTGGGACACGTGGAGATTTTAATCTTTTTTAAAACCTGGTTTCATGGCACCCACGTCGGTAGCACGGAGTACCCACGTTTTTATTTTACTGCCTCTTGATGACCCGGAGACCTGAATGGTTCATTAAGCCTCTGGTGCCCCTGCTGAGATCTCTGAGGAGATACGGAAAGGAAATAATACCGACCCAGGTGAAGAACTGTACTCAGACGTCCTGTAAAATACTGATTCTGTGATGTGAATCAGTAGTGCTGTCACTTGGAAGGTGGACGGTGCTCGTCTGTTCGAGCACGTAAACCAGCTTCTAAAGAATTGGCCGCGTGTGATCATCGCGTGCTCGCCTTTCTCAGATTATCTGGAAGGTTTCGGCGGCCTTTCCTGTAATAGCACAGCTTCCAGTGAAGAAAAGATCTAGTGTGATACAGATCTGATGTAGTGTAATGACTTGTCACAGATTATTATGTTTTGTACCCAGAGGCATTTTCCGTGTTCCTTGTGGTATGCCAGCAATTTGTTAACATATGTACTTTGCTTATTGCTGTATTCATAAGAATGTGTGCTGGCTATGATCTGCTTTTTAATAGGGTCTTTAACAAGAAAAAAAAATCGTGATGGAGCTCCGTCCTTGTGCACTCTCGCAAATGCTTGCGGTGAAGTTCGTATCGCCAATTTTATATTCGGCATCTGCTCGTGGGGCAGGGGAGCAAAAAAAAAGAATAGTCTCACCTGTAGAAACTGAGGTCCTTGTTCTGTGACGGTACGTTTCGAAGTAAAATTCCCGCGTGCGTGCCGTTGCCGTAGCGCGAGTCGCGTTAGGAAGATCCCCAAAACGCTCAGATTGTGTTTTCTTAGAGGTTCCCACTCTGAATGTGCACAGAGCTTGAGCCTTTGATGTCCCTTAGTATTCGTGACCTTTGAGTTTGGGTCTGATTATCAAAACGACTTCCCCTGCGGCTTCCCAGGAGTCACAACTACTACTGTGCTTCAGAGTCTTGAAGGTTATAATAAAAATTTTGGATAAATCTAAAATAAGTGTTCTGATTTCTTATCTCCAAGTTCAAAACTTGTATTTCGGGCTTTGCCTGCTGCCTTGCCTGCAAGTTTTTGAGACCGTTGCCTCAAGTGCGATTCCTGGCTAACTCTACTGGGAACAGTTCTTGGTATCGCCTTGAGGCTTGCATTGCTGGGCTGAGATTATTTTGACACTCCGTTAAGTGTAAACCGTTTGAGCCAAGTACTTGGGATTTTTTTCTTCAGAGTTCCTTTTGAATGCAGCGTCTGACGCGTGTGTGGCACCGTTACCCTGTACGTTTTAACCTTTGGGCCAGGCCCTCCTTGAGCTGAGATGCACCTCATGTGCTTTATGTCCTGTCCGGCTGTAATTGCAAGCAGTCCTTTGTATTGGCCCTTGGCTTGGATGGACGGGCCGAGGTTATTCTGGTGGGAAAACAAAGCTGTTATATTCTAGGATTATCTCCCAGGATGGAAGGTTGGGGCTTTGACTTGGTTGTCTTTGCCTGCTGCCTTGCCTGCACATTAGGGTTTTTTGAGAGAGAAAGTAGATGACGCTCTCTTTAGAGAACTGAGGGAATCTCCTGATGGCAGACGCTGGTGTTCACGGGTGAGGTCAGCCTTCCTGACGTGAGCTGGAGGAAGCAGCGTGTCGGGTGCTGGCAAGCCACCAGAAAGACATCCCTAGCGCTGAAGATTGTTGTATGACATGGGTGATCTGCGAGACGGTACGGATGGGTGGGAGCGTAGCGAGGAAAACGAAGGCCCGTCAGAGGCAGGGGGAAGCGGGGGAATTACAGGTTGGCTGGCTTCTCCTTGATCCCTGGGAAGGCTTGTAAAGCAAATCCAGGATCCCGGAAGGACGAGAAGGCGTTCGGAAGGCACATTTACCAAGGACAAGTTCTAACTGACCAACCAGCTCGCCTTCTGCGATGACACGAATGGCTCCGAGGGCGGGAGAAGTGCAACAGAGGTGGTTTACGTTGACTTCAGTCAGGCCTTGCTTTTCTGTAATACCCTTGGAACCAAACTGGACAGCTAGCCTGTGGGGTGGACTGGGAGGCTGTGGTGAGCGATACAAAGCTGGCTGCTTGTGAAGTTTCTCCAGGGGCGGTACTGGGGCCGATGCTGTTTAACACCTTTGTCGCAACCTGGATGATGGGCTAAAGCGATCGGCAGCAAGTTTCTGGAGGGGTAGGCTGGAGAAATAGCTGCCGGGATCATCACAAAGTTCACTAAAGGCAAATCCCCAAGTTCTGCACGCACGTGGAAAAACCACGTGCAAAAGTAAAGGCTGGGAAATGACCGAGTACGAAGCAGCTTTGCACAAAGGGATGTTGATGTCCTGGCAGAAAAGTTGAACTTGCATCAGCGGCGTACCTTTGCAGTGATGAAGGGTGGCTGTGTTCTGGGCTCTAGAGAGCCGTTCGGACTCTTGCGACACCCAGACCCGGAATATTGCTCCCGGTTTGAACTCCTCCGTACAGAACAGAAACCAACGCACCGGCACGGGTCAGGTGCAGGATCGCCAGGATTGTTAGAGGATCGGAGCACCGGGGGAGAGGAGACGCAGCGAGGGCTGGACTTGCTCAGCCTGCAGAGCAGAGGACCGAAGCAGGGGGGTGAGATGTTACCGCTGCCTTCAGCTGCCTGGTGGGACGGTGCGGATCCGTACTTGTCGAGGTGCGCCACGTTAACGTGATGGCCGACGGGCACAAATGGCCAGTGGAAGTTCTGTTCATCTGTTCGGGAATAGTCTTGTTCAGAACTTGCTTTAAGGAGAGCAACGTGTTAGAAATTGGTCGTGCTTTGTTCCCCGGGGTTGAACCAGGTGAGCCCCGGAAGTCCTTTCCAACCTAAATTATCCTGTGCCAAATGCGCAGTGCAGTTAGCTTGGACAAGTAGTGCCTAAGGCTTTGGTCATCTGAGGCGTAAAGGTTTCCCTTCCCAGTCCGCAGGGAAAGCGAATCCAGCCCTCGTAATTACTTTAGAATATTGGTGCTCCCACCTGCGTGTTACAGATGCGACTGTGGCCTTTTCAAGCTGACGTGCTTTGGGACAAAGGAATGGTCCCGCTTGACTCCAGAAAGTGTTCTCCTGTTCGCCTTGCAGTGCTCTTGAACTTGGATTTTTCGTTGTTCGCCAGTGTTTTCCCAAAGGGTAAAATAGATGGTGCGAGACGTTTTTAACAGGGTTTTTGTTTGTTTGTTTGGGGTTTTCGAGCACCTGTTCTGTAAGGGGCTTTGTTTCCACTGTTTCCTCTTTGCCAGTGTAACGCATGAATGGATGAAATCTTTTTATTTACTCAGAGGAGGTGGGGAGGGCGTCCTGAATCGGTGGAGTAGGTCTGTGTGAATGAAGTGCCTGTTCACGTAATTGTTTCAACTGTAATACCGTTATGGTCATCCTTTTTTGGGGAAGTTGTGATATACAGGGCTGCCTTGAAACTAACGTGCGTGTCTTTAATTACAGCATTTGACATTGCGTACCAAAGAAATGGTGATGGAGAAGCCAAGTCCCCTGCTGGTAGGGCGGGAGTTCGTGAGACAGTACTACACTCTGCTAAATAAAGCTCCTGACTTCTTGCACAGGTAACGCTTCCACGTATCAAGTGACTAATGCGTTTGAACAGAAGTGTGCACCCTTCCTTATAAATCAGATAAACGTTAATTTCCGAGTATGGGAGGAAACGGAGCTGGCCAACTTTTGGGCTCTTGGAAAATATTGCGTCTTATTGAAAATGCTTTAGGCTCTAGAACCAAGTCTGATCGTACGGATGTATGGCACGTTATCAAGGTATTTCCTGTGTGGAAAAGCGAGCTCCTCCTCAGCTGACAAAATGGTAGCGTAGGCATATTCCAGAAATAGTTTTCTAAAAAGAAAAGTAAAGAAAATGGCAGAGGAAGCACTTGCATTTAGTACCCAAGACAAGCATGCTAATTATTTCAGGATAGCATCTTTTGCATTGCCTCTGAGAAGTTTTTATCCGGATTATGATTGGAGATTTAAGCATAAATGTCATGGCCTGGACGAGGTAGGTGGAAAATACAGTAGGTTTGTTTTTTGTTTTAACCTGGGTCTGCTATTTAAGTGGTACTCTGAATGTGTTTCTTGCTTCTTTTTTCTTTTCCTTTTTTTCCTTCCTTCTTTTTTTGGTTTTGATTGGCCACATCCAGCTTGTCACTTAAGATTTTGCATTTCCACATTTGGATTTGGAGCAGCACGGTCTTGCCATAAGTAAAGGTCAAAGTAGCTTTGCCAGTGTATGAAAAGAAAAAAAGCAATCACTGCTTGGGTCGGTCTTGTCGCAGGACTTGACACAAGGTTGATGATGAAAAATTGGACTGTTTGAGTGAGAGCAGGTTAGAGCTCTCAGATGGCTTACTTAAGAATTCAGTCTTTTGAATAATGCCTCTTTTCATTTATAGCTTTGAGGCAGGGAAAATGAGCGGTATCATTTTTACTTAAATTGCTGAACCACTGCGGAACCGTGTCGTTTTCTGTGTTTACATCTATTTTTAAGGTGTCTCAGCCGTGTATTCCAGTCTTTCCTAATTTATGTTCAGTAATCTAACAGAAGTTGAAAGCAGAGTTTTTAGCAATTGCAGAATTTTTCCTCGCCCCCAAAACTTCAACAGATGAGTCAGATCAGATCAACAACCGGGCAAGTATGTCCATGTAACGCATCGATACCTGCTGTACAAACCGGCAGCTCGCTCTGACCCAGAACTGCGTTCCTTGGGTACCTGTCCTGCCCGGGTGTTTTCCCCGGTGCCTGGGAAAGGACCTCTTGCCTTGGGGTTACCTTCGGAGGCACCTCTTAGCCAGGTCTGTTAGCGTCTTGTTGATGTCCATAACTACGCCTCGCCTGGGAAGGTCGTCAGTTGAAATTCTTTTCAGAAACTTAGAAAGGGTGTGACTATACCAGTTTTTCAAGGCATCAATTATGTCGTGAGCAAATGATGCAACGGAAATTCTGGTATCAGAACAGCAGGGTCATTTTGAATGATAGAAAAGCCCAAGTTAGTAAGACAAGTTTCTTGTGAAGTGTTTTGTCACGGGGCTCTGAAACCCAGAAAGTGTTTGCATGAATGACGAGACCGAGAAGAGTTTATAAGGGATTATTAGTCCGTGCTTCACAGTTTAATACCACAGGCAGAGGGAGAATTATATCGGTTCCGCAGTGCAATTGCCTTGTCCTTCTGTAACGTTTATTTTCAATGGCAGTTAAATTGTATATTGGGGTAAATCAACCATCCCTCATACTTGGTGTTGAAAATAGTCTTTGATTTTGCTCGTAAGAGCATTTACCTGGAATGGTAGTGACTGTAACCTCGGCAGGATTTGGGGGGTGTGTGTTTTGATGTAAAAATCAAAATTCTCTTGGTACGTTTTTCCTCCCTCACCGCTTCAGACAAAGAAGAGCAGCCAGCTGTTCCAGGCTTGCCTTCCCTCCTGCTTTCCCTTAGTATGGCAACATCACTTCCATTGCATCAGTATTGCACGTGCTCTGGGAGCAGTACGGAGCCGGCGTTCCCAGTACGTTCGGGATGTAGAGCGAGGTTTCCGGATTGGGGCGATAGGAAATTGGCAGAAGTGTGCGTGTGAGGAAAAAAGGTGTCTGCAGAGACGTTTGGCCTGTCAAAGACAACTTTGGTGCTTTATAGGCGGTACTAGGTATTACTCCCACCCCTCTAAATCTCAAGCTTTACTCGAACAACTCTGAAACGCAGCTTTTCAAATTATGCTGTATGCCCGGTACATTGGGGGGGAACAGGCAATTGTCCAGAGACCTTCTTGAGGGAGTTGTGTTTTCATCGAGGGCTCTAGTCCACAAACGTTACAGAATTTTTCTTCCTTTTTCAAGCGGACTGGCTGTTGATGACCGGTCAGTTAACTGTCTCCTGGAACGGCCCTGCTGACGTCGGGACAGCTGGATAGACAGACACCCACGAGGCAAGCTCCCCCGGTGCAGGGGGTGCTCTGTGCTCACGAATATTCTCGGTTCACTTGTACTTTAGGGGAATGTATTTGGCTTTACTGGCCCCTTAACTGAAAATCTAGAATTCCGTATACCTGAGGACTTAACGTTTAGTCCTTTCCTGATCTGCGGTTCCCACTCGGCTAGGCTGTCTGCCTACCAAGGAGTTTGAACAGTTCCTTAAAAGCTGCAGATCTTGGGCAAAGCAGAATACTGACTATTAAGCTCGTTTGTTCCTGCATTCTTGGAGCCTCAGCAGTGGAAAATGTATTTTGAATCGCCGTTTGTGCTGGAATTCCCGATGTGTTGAGCTCTACAACTTTTGGCTAAAATACTAGTTGGATTTATTTCTATTTTTTCAGGGCTATGACCTTTGCATCTCTTCACTTGCAGGTTTTATGGCAGGAATTCTTCTTACGTCCACGGAGGACTGGATGCCAGTGGGAAACCGCAAGAAGCAGTGTATGGTCAAGCTGTGCGTATCAAAATCGGTCCGGTAGTCCTCATTAATGTTTAGAACTGACTGTATAAATCCGTCTTTTTCTTTACCAATTACTCTGACTTTCTTCTCCGGTAAATAACGTATTGTGATACCGCCTCCTGTTCAGAGGCAGATAGGAATTTGTAGGCTTGAATTTTTGTATTGGATCGTTGCTGCTTTTACTGTGAGTTGTGTTTGATACGTCAGCTTTGCGTCTGGACTGCGGACAATACACTTAGGGTGGGAAACAAAATCAAGAGGGCCTGTTAGACTTGCCCTATTGATTTATCTTATTTCAGTTAGAAGTGGTTCCTTGGGAAGGGGACTTTGATCTTTTCCGAGTTACGTGGAATTCTGCATGTTACCAAATTCTTCTGTGAGCGGAGTTTTCTTAAAGCGGAAGACAACTTTTGAAAAAGTGAAGTAACTCGAGGAAACACGAGTTTTCGCTGATCAGGACAATGCCTGTCACCCAGGGGCGCCTGTTCACGTGGCAGCCGCGTCTTTGAGCAGCGTGGCTTTTAGCCCATGGCAGGTTGGGTTTCTTCTCCTTTAACCGGCAGAGCCTGATTTGGCAGCACAAAAGTCTTGGCAGGGCAGATGCTACCCGCTCCCGTGAAGTTTGGGTACTTTGTGGATGCATAGAGGCTTGGGGTTTTTGTTGGGGGGGTGGGTTTTTCTAAACGCAATGTAAATCCTGTGCCTCTCACAGGCCCTTTGAAGAAAAGAAAGCCTTAAAATAGGTCATATGTTGTAATACAGCTGGAAAAGTCGGGTAGGAAATTGTACGCTATTTGACTACTCTGATAAGTACCTGAATCCTGGTGGAAGACTTCAGAATAAAAGTTAGATGAGCTCACGTAGACAGTTCTTAGCAAAGGACACTTCTTGGTCCCTGCATTGACCTTTTGAGTATCAGCGGGCCGCTTGTTCATGTTCGTTCAGACTCCGGTACTTAAAAGGTGTAAAGCCCTGAGCAAAACTCAGCATAGCTAAAATGTAACTCTTTATTTCTAGGAGATACACAAGAAAGTGATGTCATTACAGTTCAGCGAATGCCACACCAAGATTCGTCACGTGGATGCTCACGCTACTCTGAGCGACGGGGTGGTTGTGCAAGTAATGGGAGAGCTGTCGAACAACGGGCAGCCAATGAGGAAGTTCATGCAGACTTTTGTGCTTGCTCCAGAAGTAAGTATATGCGCGATTGTGTTTAACTTCAAATAACGATGATGGAAACCTGACCCGTAGCTACAGTTTGTCATACTGGGGCCAAAGATACGATCTGGCTTCTGGAGCTTGGCCCGGAGGCGATCGCTAAACGCGTCACAGTTGTGAGTGCAGAGAAACACGTGTATTGGACCCGTCCTGAGCTGGTTTATGTTCTTTGACTTGAAGTATTGGAGCAGCAATCCAAAGCAAAATGGAGCTTGCATTTGGGAGCTGCCATTGGCACAAATAAATTAGAAAAAGTAGTGTGGAGCTCTGCAGATCAAGGTTCTAGCGTAGTTCTGTACTTTCTTCAAGTCTGCCGGCAAACGGGTCTGCGGGTGGATGCTGCGCAAGTTACCGTTACTGCTCCGGTTTAGCTCTTAGCGAGAGCAGAGCTGTGTCAGGGTGAAGGGTGTCTTATGTTCTTCCTACTTCTTTCCCCCCCACTTCATCACAAACTATCGTGCAGTTGATGATTAGCGTTTCAGAGTCTTGCCGAATTTCTTTGTTGTTTCCCCATGCAGTGCAGTAAGCATACAGTCACCCTGCGAAAGCCCATTCTGGTTTTTTATTGTAAAGTTTTCGTAATAGTGTTTCAGTTGGGTGGAAGTTACCGTTCAGTTGTTTGGTTAGAGACCAGGTACCACTTGGAAAATGGCTTTAATGAAATAGTCCTGTTCTGAAGTGTTGGTGTGTACCCCAAAGCTTCTGTCTCTAATCCGTCCTTGTTGTTGGCTGCTGATATATCGTGTATTCAAAAAAATGCATGTTGCTCTTTTACAGGGTTCGGTTCCGAACAAGTTCTATGTCCATAACGATATCTTCAGATATGAAGATGAAGTGTTTGGGGATTCAGAAGGAGAACTTGATGAAGGTGAGAAGAACTCTACGTGTAGAGTTTGTCTTGTTCCTGTTCCTCTAGCACGTATGCCGAGCTTTCAGGAGCTTCTAGAGGAGATGGAAAGACGCAAACTGTATTGCGTTCTCATGGAGCGTAGCACTTTGGGAGGGGGCTGAGGCGGGGAGTGTAGGTTATGTTGCTGGAACTACCTGCCGGTCCAAAACCTTTTATAAAATGAAGGCCATGTAGTAGTACCTGGTTCCTTGAAGAGCTGAACTGGCTCAGGGGGTGAGGCTTGGCAGAGAATGGAAAAAATGAGTGGTAGTTTTTTTGCTGCTGCTGGTTTCATCAGGTGGACTCGATTTCTCTGATCAGACAAATTTTTAAGTAAAGTGATTTGAAGAAAACAAATCAACACATAGCTTTTACTTTCTTATCATCGCTACGGTCGGTAGTTCATTTCTGTTCAGGGGATGAGCCTGACCTGGGTGGGTTGTTTCCCCTCTGTTCACTGAGGCAAAGCAAGTCACAGCACAGCCGGAATGTATGCACACGTGTTCACTGGGTAATTTCTGGAATTCCTTCAACACAGCATCTTAGGCAATCATCCTTGCATTTGAGGTTAATCTTCTTAGTTTTAGGTACTGAGATTTATGAGCTAAGTGTGCAAGCTTTCTCGTTTACTGCCACCACATGAAAAGCAGCTGCTGCTTTAAGAGCCCCTCGAGCCCTCCTCCCAGAACTTCCGAGCAGCAGGATGGCTCGGGTTACGAGCGGAAGGGTCCTCTATCTTTTCTTGCAGCTAATTTTGCCTCATTTTGTTGATGAAGCTTTCTTTTGATTACTACTAGTTCAACACGCTTTTATTTTCAGTGCGGCTTGTGTACGCTTGCAGAGATGCTTAAGGAAGTTTTTCTTTTTGTGTCAGAGTCTGAGGAAGAGGTGGAAGAGGAGCAGGAGGAAAGACAACCGTCCCCTGAACCCGTGCAAGAGAATGCAGGCAGTACTTACTATGAAAACCATCCTGTTAGGTAAGAAGTTAATTTTATTGTAGCAAGTTGCTTAAACAAAAAAAAAAAAACAAAACCAAAAACCCAACAGAATTGCTTTGGCTTTGGATTCTGGGTGCGATTTAACAGGTCGCTTAGGTAACGTCACTTGATATAGATCTGTGTTATGTAAGGTTATATTATTTTGAAACATTGCTTCTTGAATGGAGAGAGGAAGTCGGGGATGTTCTTACATTTTTTAGTTATTTTCGCTTCTGGTTTCACATGAGGGGTGAAAAGGTAGCAACCCTGTTTATGTGCACACTTAGTGTCTTCACTGTTATATAAACTCATAACAGTGAGTTGATAGGATGTAATGTGTGGGAACAGATGGGTTAACAAAGGCGTGGTTAATGATACGCTACTCCTCAAATTTGGGTAGCACTTGAAGCCAGAGGAAGGTCTGCTTTTTGAGAAGTTGCTGTACAGCCATACTGGAAGAATACGCTCTGTCCTGAGTGTCTTAAAATGTAAAGAGGATTAAAGAAAAACATTTCTTTAGGTTTTTATAAGAAAAATACATTTTATTAAACAAGCAAACAAAACACCCCCACAAAGACAAACAAAGACCACCAAAGCCCTGTGCTTTTTTTGAAATATAGCAATGCCTTTTAAAGGGCCAGAACTGACCTCCTGGTTTCCTTCTTTAAAAAAAAAACAAACAACCAAACAACAAAAAACCCCAACATTTACGACACCGCTAGAATGATGTCTGTCGAGTGCCTCAGTGATTATGCTAAAAGCTGGTCACATCATGCTTTTCACAAGAAGTGTTATGGCAGAGGGGAGGCTGCTGGAATTGTGGCAGTGACTGACTTGTTCGAGGTAACGCAGGAAGGTTTAGACGCCCAAAAGCATTACGTTAAGTCCGGTCTTGGTTTGGGGTTTACTGTGCCGGTTGGAAGGGAGTTGTCAAGGCAGAGTTCATCAGATAGTCACTTAGCCGTATGCTAACCCGTGGCAGGAGCTGCACAGGGAGAAGTATCTGGAATTCGGTAAGCTTTTGGGGTGGCTGAAGAGAGAAGTGAAGAACTTCAGATCCCTTACCTTTTGAACACGCAGAGTACAGAGATGAAGTTGCGTGTGATTTTCAGTAAACAGGACTCACAGCTCCTTTGGTAAGGAACTTGTATGGCATTTTTGTAAACAAGCTGTGGGTTTCATTCCAAAATTGGCTTCGTTTATGTGTACGGCTTAGTCTTCCATCGGTCCCTTGCTGTGCTTCTGTTCTTTTAGGAGCAGCAGTTCTGGAGTTCAGCGCCTATTCCTTAAGGGCTTTAGATGTCTCTGTGATTTTCAGGTTTTCTGCAGAGAACTGTG